AAAAGAAATCCAATCCATATGTTTTTTGTTTATTTACACTTAGTGTAATTCATCAAAGAGCTATTTAATAAGCTATTTAATGTCCAAAGAGTCTTCGTCACAAGTTTTTTTTTTAAGTCTTTCATCTTGTGTACCAGGAAGCTTTGCTTTTCTTTGAAACAAGGTTCTAAGAAAAACCTTCTGGAAAAATATGACCTTCCACTCATATTCTAAAATGTTACTAGGCCTGCAAATTAGGCTAACAGAAGGGTAGACTTGAGCAATGCTTTAGTGAATTTAACAAGTTCTAAAACAAGGGTCAATTCAGTCCTCCCAAATCTATAATTAATAGTTGGATAGTGGCATTTCGGAGGAGGTCAAAAAGGTTAAGGCCCTCTGCTTTTACTCTACAATCTCTCAAAAATGTCAAGAAAACACTGTGTGTTAGACATTATCCAATATAGGCAAAAAATTACTTTGATTTATTTTCACCATGCAATATTATCGAAATTCATCATCGCCAATTGCTGGAAAAATTGTTCTCTGTGTGTGTGTGTGTGTGTGTGTGTGTGTCTTTGCCTGTATCTGTGAACGTGTGTGTATCTATGTGATGTGTATCTCCATTTGTGTATATTGTGTGAATATCTGCATGTGTATGCATTGCAGTGTTATTTTTTATAATATACTAGCTTTAGATAAGATACAGGAAGGAATTTCCTGAAAACAAACCCCAAACTCAATGTTTTTGTAAGCTCTTGTCAATAGCTCCAGTAGGGGCTTAACTGAAGCCTTGTGTTCGAAGCCTTTAGGTTCATGGCCTCCCCTGGCCAGGACTTATTTCTTCTGGTGAACACGGAAACCTGCCATGGAGGAGAAATCTTCTGACCGACCCTAGACAAATCCTCGAAGTAACAATTCCAAATATTACCATTGAGATAAAGTGTTTGTTGTATTGCACTGCCTGTGTTTTAGAGAGGAGACATTTTTCAAAGGCACCATATAAAGCTCCATTGGGAATTTCTCTAAGCACAACATGAGATGATCCGGAAGGTCCTGGGGCATCTGCCAAGTGGGGCTTACATGCAGTACATGCTCTTGCTTTTACGCATTTATTTTCTTCTTTTATTAATTCAATAAACATTCATCTAGAGTCTAGTTAGTTAACCAGGTAGCTATATATATAAAAAGAAAATGACCTCATTTGTTTTCTGTTGTTAAAGGGGTGTTTATGTATATAACAGGTACTTTTCTGAACAGGAAATTGTCATATCTATCAATGCAGAAAGTGCTGGATGATTTCAGGCTTGTTATCTTGTTTTGTTTTGATAACGACCCTTTGAAGCAAGGCTGGAACCTGAGGTTCAGCCAGATTAAATAACTTTCCCCAAATCATAGAGATATTTCTAAGAAAAGCTGGAAATAAAACCCAGATCTTTATGATGACACAATTCACTCTGTGTTATCTCACTATTGCAAATTCCATGAGATTTCAGAGCAGGAAGAGATTGCTTGGGATTTAGAATGTCATAAATTTGAGCTCTCAGTTCCAAAACCCATGTAGTCAATAAAAGAGTTACTGCAGCACATTAAAGATCTCCCTTGAGCCAAGGGTACCGGGGCCTTTTGATCCTGCTTACCTTTCATGCTGGAGACAATTATAGTGATTTGGGGTGGGATCACGGGTTTGCAGATGTGCCTGGCCATTAGTAGGTAGGTACTCACCTGAACCAGTGAAGCCTGATTAATTGGAAACAAGAATAAATGAAATACAGTGAAATGGAACTAATGCTTGGCCAATTGTGATGGCTTCACAATTGGCTACTATGTGACTTGCAGTACTGAACCTCAAAGTCCTTATCTATAAAACAGAAAATAAATAGTACTCCACCTCACAGAGCCATTGCGTGAATTGAGTGCATGGAACCTGCTGACCGTTATCAACACCTATCCTCACTGCCCATCTTTCCTTTCTCTGACCAAGTCCTGAGTCCAGAGCCACTAAACTCTAACTTTTATCCCCTGAATGCCAGCCCCTCTGAGCTCTGACCTAACCAGGACTGAGAATAATGGCTTCCTTATCAGAGCATTGTACCTGAGATGAGAGTCTTTGACAGGGGGACTTGAGGATGACCAGCCCGGAAAAGCAAACGGGTTTGCAAACCAATTGAGCATATATTGCAGACAAGAATTAAGAAAAACTTGGGCCTTAAGGGAAAGGAGAACACTAAAGTTGCCAAAGGCAGGGTTAGATTATAAAAGCGAAATAATAGGTTTATTTACGGAACACGGGATATGGGTCTGGGAGTTGGGGTCATGGTTTGGGATAGTGTTTGAAACATGGTTTTATTTCATTGCTATGACCACTCTGGTGGTTCTGCCATACTCTAGGCATCATGTTAGGTGTATCTGCAGACTATCACAGACCTGCACAGGAACAAATTGAGGGAGGAGCTGAGACTTGGACAGGTGGTTTGCTCAGAGCCATGTGGCCAAGGAAGGACTGAGATGTGAAGTCTCATGCACACGGCTTGGGCCCCATGTAATTTCCATTGAAATATGTGGCTCAAGGTAATTGAGTAGCTATGGAAATGGGTGTGAGTGAAGCACTGTCAGTTACTTTTCAAAAAAGACTGGCATCCCAAAACATGGGTTCCCTTTTTGAAGCTGTCTTCTGGGAACCCCCTTGCCTCCTGAGGGCCATGAGGAACTCCCTTTTTGACTCTCAGTCACTCTGGGCTCCATCCTCCAGCCTTCACCCACCATGACTCCATGGATCAGCTCTCATCAAAGCCTCAGCCTTTAGCTTCTTGTAATGGAAAGAGAGGATGGGGTGGTGAAAACAGAAGTGCATATAATTTTCTGATGACATTTTAAGTGACTCATCTTTCTGGATCAGAGAATAGAAATACAGGGCAACGGCCACTGAAATATTTAAATCATGTCACCTGGTAGGTATGTCCTGGGAAGCTAGCAAGAGAAATAATTCAGTAGAAGCTGGAAGGTACACATTATGATAATTTTTATTGCAAAATTACTGATTTATTATTTTTAAATGTTTCTTTTTAAAAATTGTGGTAAGAACAGTTAACATAAGACTTAGCCACTTATCACATTTATAAGTGCACAATACAGTATTGTTAGCTGTAGACACAGTGCAGAACTCTAGGACTTATTCATCTGTGTAACTGAAACCTCATACCTATATAACAACTCTTCATTTCCCACTCCGCCCAGCTCTTGACAACCCCTATTCAACTTTCTGTTTCTATGAGTCTGACTATTTTAGATTCCTGGTGAAAGTGGACTCATGTAGTGTTTGTTGTTCTTTGTTTGGCCTATTTCACTAGCAAAATGTCCTCCAGATTCATCTCTGTTGTTAAAAATGACAGGATTTTCTTCTTTTTATGGCTGAATAATATTGTATTATGTATATATACCACATATTCTTTATTCATTCATCCATCGATGAACATTTGGTTTATTTCTGTGTCTTGGCTATTGTGACTAATGCTGCAGTGGACATAGGAGTGCAGGTATTTCTTTCTGATCCAGATTTCAATTCTTTTGGATGTATACCCAGAAGCATGATTGCCAGCTCATATGGTAGTTCTATTTTTCATTCTTTAGGGACCTCCATACTTTTTTCCATAATGGCTGTACCAATTTGTATTCCCACCAAGTGTTCAGGCTTTCAACTTCTCAACATCATAAAATAGGAAGTATAATGAGAGATGTATGTTATGCATAGCCATAAACTGAACACACACACCTATATGTAGTTGAAAATGTGAAATTATATAAATATTTTAAGACCTAAAATAAAATAGAAATATATTACATTATATATATATAATTATAAATAGATACACATTTGTGACAAAGTAACAAGCAAGTAATATTTTTATGTTAAAATAATGGTGTAATTTTATTTAAAGTTAAAAGTTTAATTACTTTAATAAAACAGAAAAATCAATTAATGCTTTATTTAGTAAAAAATTAATTGAAAATAAATTATATATTATAGTAAATTTCCTGACTTAGTAAAAAATGTTGCTTTCTCTTGAAGTGCTAACTTTTTTTAAAGCAATGCTACACTCTGGGTAGTTATACTTGAAATAGTAAATATTTTTTTCTGAAGATGGTTTCGTCTTTGTGGCTGTCATGGGATTAGGGATACCTAACTAGCCCTACGATAATGAGAAAAAGATGATTTTCTTTAAAACAAAAATTAATATTAATTTATCTGTGTTTATACTTATGTTTAATCACTTTCAATATAAGCACATACTTCAAAAAAAAAAAAAAAGAAAGAAAGAATCTTTGAAATTTTAAAAATTCCATTGTTGATAATAGTAAACTTTAGGAACAATTTCCAAGCCTCATTTTTGCACACATCACACATAGGGCAATTTTTCTGAATCTTGGACCACTGGAGACATTGTTCAGAGTCAGAGACGGGCTTCAATTAGAAGTTCCAGGTCACATCCAGTGAAGGTCTTACTCGAGAGGGCAGAAACCTCACTGGCTGAGTTTCTAGCTAAAGTTTGTTGACTCAACCTGTCCTCTGTGAGCATGAGAAAATGTACATCATCTCTAGGGCACAAAGAGAACTCGGTGCCAGTTCAGAGGAAGCAAACTAATAGGGAAACTAATCCTTTGAAACCATTTACTAAGACGCTGAGTGCTGTCATTTGGTTTACCTGGAAGGCTTGTTAAAGATCTAATCACAAGATGATTTATATTTGAGGCACTTTTTGTGCTATGATTCTACAACCAAGATCCATCTAGCATAAAGATCTTTTCACTTTATTTTTAAGGACATCTAGAAGGTATTTCCCTACTCCACTCCCCAATCTAAAGAACCACCAAACTATTCCTAGCGCAACAGAAGTAAAAGGAACACCATGATGTCAACATCATTCATCTTTTTTAAATGTATAAGCACTTTTAAATGTAATGAGAAAAATTCATGGTATTATAACATTTGGAGGATGCTATAACTTGTCATCTAATTATTGATATACAGGTCAATAATTTTTTTTCTACATAGTTCATTTTAACATCACAAGCAACTCACATTATCTTCAAATCTCCATCAGAGAGAAGGCTGAGGCTTGGCTGGAGCCAGAGCTGGGTGACTGCAATGGGCCCTGGAGGGCGCCGTGCTCCATATACATTGGGGCTATGTCAGGCAGGTGGCTTCAGCAAATCTCTGAATAACACAAAGCTTCAACTTTTTCACCTGTTAAGAACAAAACAAAAAGCAAGACTGTGATACTTTATCTCTCAGATGTTCTGGAGCCCTTCAAGTCTAGCACATGTCTTCCAACCCATGGCTCTGTATAGAGCTTCCAGCCTACCTACAGTGGCATTTCCATGCACCTTTCATGTTTGATTCTACAAAGACAGCTCAAAAAGGCTGCTGGTGCTAATGCACTGAGCTCTGGTCATGCACCTATAAGGATCAATGGAGAGCAACGCGCATGACACTGATGATTCATGCTTTATAAAATAGAAAACACTGATGAGAATGAGATTAAACACTATTTATTATTTTTATCACTATTAAACACTGCTTAGAATAATCCATGTTTTGTCCAGTGGGTTAGAACAAACAAAAAAGATAATAAAAAGAAATTTAAAAAATAAAAAACGAATGGACTATGTATACATGTTAACTACAACTTATAAAAGATTCAATTTTCTCTTTTTTACTGTTTGACTATAGCTTCTGCATTACGTGGATTTGCTATAATCTGGATCTGTAGTTTTATATATCACTTCTGTGGATATTCTCAGGGCAATACAATGTTAAAAATCTAAGCAGCATTCTCTGTTGCCTGCTGGCATTTCTCAAAGTGATCTCAGATGTCAGTGTCTATTTGTGGTGATTATCAGTCAGAGTTCACATGGGAATGATGGTTTTCATTGACTTTTTTAGACGCACTGAGGTGTTCTCTAACTATCTTTAGTTTATTTGATATCCTGAGATCTCATTCTACCCTTCTCTCCATTGGTGAGGAATCTATTCTCAAAAGCTAAGAGGGAGCAGAAATAGTGGAGGCAGATTTTACAGATGCAAACTGGAGAGGGAGGTCATTGGGAGATAGAGAAACGTGTGACACAGAGGATTTGGGGCAGCGCTGTGCTATCCAGGCAGCCTGGATAGCAACCTATTTGTCTCTTTTTCAACCTATTTGTCTTGTAATTGCACTTTCCCTCTGAGAACTTGCTAGGAAATTGCATGGAAAATCCAGGTCTTAATATAACACAATGGTGATAGGCATAAGCTCTCAAGTGACATGGCCCTGGGTTAAAATTCCAAACCCTGCCCCTGGTTCTACAATCATTTGAAAAATAACTATTGAAATCTTTTTTCTCATTTTTAAAATGAGAAACAAAATAGTTCACACATCATCGTCGTAGAGATTAAATGAAATAGTGTACATTAAATGTTAATCCCAATACTGAGTACACACAATTGTTCAGTAAATATCATCTATCTAGGCCTATGATATATCCCATTATAAAAATTTGGCCTTTGGGATTTTTAAACGTGAGGTTAATTGCTTCTTTAAAATTCACACAGAAATGTTATTTGTTTGGATAAGCATAAGGTAGAGCTCATGGAAAGCGCAAAGTCTAGATGGATTTTCCTCATCTCTGGTCTAAAAATGAAGAAACACAAAGCTACAGGACAGGCAAACATGATACAGAAGATTTAGATGGTAAGCATCATCATGGAATCGTTCTCAATAGAAATCAGAAATCAGAAGAAAGGAAGAAGTTTTTATTTCTGGTTAAGTTGTTGTTTGGGCTGTTTTACTTTAAATTTATACAATAACCTGCTTTCATTAATGCATACCTCACGTGACATCCAAATGGCTCAAAATGAAACAGGTTATTAAGTAAGGTTTTCTGTCATCATAAATATAAAATTATTATTTTTTGTTTTTGCCTTTCTAGAATTCTCTTCTTAGGTCACTGGCACTGTTGAGGGTTCATGGAACTTCTGCAGAAAAGCCCGTGGATATTACTGGCTACTATGTGGCATTTGCTTCTGCTGATGAGAAATCTGATGCCATTCTAAATGCCATTATTATTGTCAGCAACCCATCTTTTCTTCTAGAGTATTTTGGAGTTTTTCTCTTTTTTTTTTTTTTTTTTTTTTTGAGGTGCAAAGTTCCACTCCAGTGTGTCTAGATGTAGCTATAACTTTGTTTAATCTAGGATTCAGTGTGGGATTTGGGGAATCTTGCCTTTACTTACAGAAAATCTTCACTGACTATGTGCATCTCTGGTTCTCTTCAGGTTCTCCATCTGCATCTTCTCTTAATCCATTTTCTCATTCTTCTACTGTGAAAGTAAGCATTCACTATATATTTGTAAGAATTTGTCCACCCATTCATCAGGCTGGAATAAAACACACGGAAAGTCTCAGCTTCCAAGTTAACAGGAAGCAACATTTCTCCCAAGCACACATTGCTGCTGTAGTGTCTAAGCAGCAGCCACATTTTTCAAGTGACTGCTGCTTTCTTAGTGAGCTTTCATTAAATCATGGAAGTCTGTCTGTTTGAAACCTTATCAGTAAGAATGAAACATTTGCCTCCAGCTTGAATGATCTAAGTCACGTTGACACAGAGAAGCAGCCTCAACCTCCAGCTCAGACCCAGAGCTTCAGATAAGGGTTTTGAACATAACATTCCACATGTATCTCTACTTTGCAATTTTCAAAGAAACAGAGTCCTAGGTCCAAGCTGCAGTTGGACCTGATGTTTACCACTTTGCACGCAGCCCTAATTTGCTTTGCGTCTTGAAAAACACTGCATCTTTCAAATTCCACCTAAATCCCATCCTGCCCACAAATCCTAGAACAACTCAATCTTTATTTTTTCTTTTCTTGGCTTGGTAAGAAACCCCATGTTTCATCAGATATGCAGCCTTCCTTGCTGTGTGATAATAATAATACCATATATACCATGTATGGGGCAACAAATAAATCCAATTTTGTTGGACTAGAAGTTTGCCCTCGAATGAATGTGCCGATTGGACTGGGGCATAACTAGGGGGTTAGCTTCGTTTCTCCTATTTATTCATTCTGCAATTAACTTCAAATTTATTTCCTAAAATTTTATTTTATTCTATCATATTATAAAATACACCTACAAAAGGATACATAATATATAGTTAGAATATAATACATTAGATATATTAATATATACATATATAATAATATATTGGTATATTATATATCAGAATATATAATATATTATTTATATAAAAATATATAAGTATATATAATGTATAACTGCATGTCACAGTTTAAATTCCAATAAAACAGTCATCAATGTACCTCCCTCTGCTGAGCTGAACAATAAAACCAGTGTCTTCATCATTGCTTATGCTCCTGCGTGCCTGTCACAATCCTATACCTTCTTTCCTTGTCCCTCCTAAGAAATAGCCTCTATCAATCTACTGCCTCTCCTCTACATAAAAATGCATTTCCAAATAATTAGTTTTTAGTTTGGCCTTATTTTGGCCTCTTCATAAATTTCATCATTCTTCTGTGATTATAATTTTTTGTGATGTACTTTTTCACACAACATTTTGCTTTTAATTTTATGTTTGAGCTGTATTTCAGTAATTTTCATTGCTGTAGAGTGTTCTATAATGTGAGAATACTATAATTAATGTATTCAGTGGGCAAATCATGGACATTTCAGTTGTTACCAGTATTTCACTGCTATGAACAGTTTTGAACCCATCTCCTGGGAAAAACGTGCAAGAGACACTCTTTATGGGATACTCTCATGACTGCCATTGCTAGAGTTTAGGTGATATGGTACTTGACCAGGTACTCTAATATGCTGGCCCAACGTGATTAGAACAACTTATATCCCCTCCAATGGGGCTTGAGGATTGCTTCACATCTTCACAAATGTATGATAATATCAGACTTTAAGATCTTAAGTGGGATTGTATTGTAGTCCCCTCCTTCCTAGTGAGATTTTGCTTCTGACTATTCTATTGAGGGTTTATCACTTTAATATTGATTTTTACATAGCTATTTATATATTCAGCATGCTTATCCTTATTTGTAAAAAATATCCTCCCAGTGTGTAGCTTATTTAATTTTTTATAGTTTATTTTAATGCATTTATGTTCTTAAATTCAATATAATTAAGCCGATCAGTCTTATTCTTTATTTTTTGTATCTTAGGTTAGAAATCTTTCCTTACCTTGAGGTCAGAAAGAAATTTCCCTATGTTTCCTCTAAAGGTTTTAAAACTTTACCTTCCACATTTAAAAATTTAACCCCTGAAGAAATACTTTTTCTGAAGCAGTAGAAAAAAAATTTTGTATCATGTTGTTCCTTGTTCCAATCTCTAACACTAATTTTTCCCCAGTCTGAACGTCACTTTTATCATCTCTTTATTTTCAAAATACCCAGGGCTCTCTTTCCAGACTTTATTCTGCTCTATGGGTCACTTTTTCTAGCCTTATTTTTTTAATATAAGGCTTTATATTAGAGAAAACAACTTCTTACCTCTTATTACTATTTAGGAATCCATTTAAAAATCAGTATCACTTCATCTAGTTTTATAAAATGTCTTAGAAATTTTATTGCATCCACACGAATCACTTGTGAAAACTTGACCCCCTTCCAACACTGAGTCTTCATAAGAAAGCATGTCCCTCCAGTTATTAGGTCTCCTTTCTTCCTTTCAATACAATTATAATTTTATACCTACAGGGCTTGCTAATATTTATAAACTACCCTCTTAACTATTTTATAGTTTTGTTGTTATTAATAAGACATGTAAAAATTCTTAAAATTATATTTTTCAGTATTTTCGTTTAATCTTTTGAGATAAGCCCATAGATTTTCTTCTTTATTCTTTTCAAAAAAGAAATTCTACTAAAGGAATTTTCTAAGATAAACAACTTTGCAACTCCAGAATAACAACAACTTGGTCAAGACAGAATGTCTTTTTATACACTGCTAAGTTGGGTGCATTAATATCTTCTTAGAGTTTTTGCATATGTTTTATATCTCTCTAAACTATTATTGTACATTATTAATCTTTAAAATTTCAAAACTTACACCAATGGTTCTGTAACAATGAGGCTTGTGACATAAGTAAAAAGATTACCAGACTTCTAGATAATATGTTTTGCTTCCACAGTTTCAAATGAGATAGATTTCCCTGCCTGATAGCTTGATTTTATTTGAAGTTGAAATGTATGGATTTGACAGTAAACACAACAGTCCTTTCTCAATAATGTAAACAAAACTCCAAACCATTTTAGGGCTTTATTTGTTTCAGGATAGCTCTGTTTCTATGGACTACTAAGTGCTTATTCATGATACTATCTTCATTATTTTGCTTTCAAATTTGGTTCTTATGCTAATTGTCTCTTTTGAATGACATTTCCCTCCTCCCCCATCTTTGAAAATCCAGTCTGACAATCTTTGTCTGCAACTAGAAAGTCTGAGTCATTTACTTTTATTGAGAATATAGTTATATTTAAATTTAAATTTATGTTTACCTTGCTAGGTTATAATTTTCTGGCCTGTGATTGTCAACAATTCTTTTGGTTTTATTCCTTTTATACATTATTTAGAATTTTTCTACTTTCTTCTATTTCTATATAATAACTTTGAAAGCTATCTACTTTTTTTTCTGTTTGCATATACTAGAAATTTTAACAAGCATATTTAACCTAACAAAGTCTGATTAGAGAAATTTTATTGTCTTTCCAAAACAACACAAGGGTCTAGACATTTAATGCAACTATTCCTTTCTGGATTTATAGCTTATACTTGCTTATTATTTTAGTTTCATGTCACTTTATAATTCTGCAAATTAGATATTATGATAATTACTATTTTATGTTGTCAATACTTACTTAGGCTTACCTGTAAGTTTCCAATTTTCTTTACCCATCCCTTCTTTTATCTCAGACATTTCTTTGGAGATTATTTTCTTCTGAAAAGTATATTCTTTAAAAGTTCTCTTTGAGGTGACTTAGTAATAAATTTCTTAGGGCTATTTGTCTAAAAATATATTTCTTTTTTCTAATATTTTAAAAACAGTTCCATTCACTCTAAACTTTTAGTTTGTTAATTATTTATTCTCAGCACTTTGAAGATAATTTCCCAGTCTTCTAGTTTCTATTGTGGTTGAGGAAAAGTCAGCTGTTGGCCTATATTTCGTTTATATATAACCTATCTTTTCTCTTTTCTGGAAGTTCATCTTTGTCTTTGTTTTTGGTTTTGGTTTTCCTACTTAAATGTGTCTAGTGTCTCAAGTTTTTCTAATATAAGAATTAATATCCTCCATCAATTTTCAGAAAATAAAGTTTTATCCTGCCTCTTCAAATATTACTTCTTCCAAGTATTCTATTATTTCCTTCCTAAACTCTGTTCTCTCTCTGTCACACACACACCAATATAGTCTAGTGGTCTTTCCATGTCTCTTCAAAGTTTATTTCTGTCTTTCTTGCTGCATTCTGATTAATTTTGCATGTTATTTATTCTAGTAATTTAGGTCTTTGAAATTCACTGTTATTTCTTTTAAATTATTAAATGCACTTTTAAAAAACTTCTCCATGTGATATTCCAATAGCTGAAGTTTTTTAACATCTGATTCTATTTTTTTCTTCTTGCTCAATCTAATTCATGGTTATTTGTTACCTCATCAGCTTCAAAACACTGTTCTAAATTTGTGAACTCATTTTCATTGAAACTTTATTGATTATAGTTGCTTCAGGGTACTCTTACTTGAATTTCTCTAGAAAGTATTCATTTTTTCCTTTTTTTTTTTTTTTTTTGAGGCGGAGTTTTTGCTCTTTTGCCCAGGCTGGAGTGCAGTGGCGCCAATGCAACCTCCGCCTCTGGGGTTCAAGCAATTCTCCTGCCTCAGTCTCCCAAGTAGCTAGTATTACAGGGGTGCATCACCATGCCCGGCTAATTTTTTATTTTTTCGTATTTTTATAGAGATGGGGTTTCCCTGTGTTGGTCAGGCTGGTCTCAAACTCCTGACCTTAGGTGATCCACCTGCCTCGGCCTCCCAAAGTGCTGGAATTACAGGCATGAGCCACCGCGCCCAGCCTGGAAAGTATTCAAATAAATTATCAAGTTGGCTTGTTTGTATGTTTCTTTGAGGATAACAGATAGTGTGACGTCATGCCCCAAACATGTGAGGGTAGGGTAGGGTTCACCATACAAATGCTCAGTGAACACTTGCTTATTTTTTCCCTTCCCTCAAGAGTGTCCTTTTTGTCTCACTGGTCCACTGCGCACATGGTACTGGTTTCATGCTGGAGTGTCTGCCTTCACTTCCCTCCCTGCACAGGGTTCAGTCACTACTGTCTATTGCCAGGGATCACCAGGACCAAAACTCAGGGTCACCAGCGATCAAAAACACTTCTGTGGCAACAGTCAGCATCCATGCACTTGATTCTCTGTTGCATTCGATTTTCTCATCA